TACTGTTTTCTGAAAATTCTGAAAATACTTTTAAAAGTGCATCTTTGCATCCTCATTTCATTTAGGCATTCCTAGGCCTAGTTTAAGACATCTTATCGAGGATATAGATGTAGAACACATGACCGACAGATCAAATTAGGGGTTAAGTTATTATCTTTCCCAGCTGTGTAGCTTAGTGTGTTCAATCTGTTAACTGTGTAGGATTGGCGACTGGGGAGACACGCTCTAGCATACTGTAGCCCAAACTCTGTGAGTAACAATTGTATAAAGATATGTTCAACTGAGAATGTTCTCTGACTGTTTAATGAAACTGTTTTCTGAAGTAATTATTGTTAATGTGTTTAAATGTATGTCCTATATTCTGAAATGTATTGTGGCATCCTTAGCAACTGTTGTATACTGTTACTGCTACTGTTACAGAGATCTCTGTCGGTTCCTTGTGGAACCACCACTGTTTACTGATTGATGGCTATCATTACTGTTCGGTCTTTAAGACCTACTGTTTACTGCTATGCTAATGGATGTACCACATATGACTGAATAACTGTTCTGACTGAAAGACTGAAGTATTGTTTAATGAACTGCTTTCATTACTGTGGAGGACATTTCATTCTTTAACCTCTTTACGCATTATGTTATTCACTGGGCTTTAGCTCACTGTTTATATATATATGTAGGTGCTCAGCCACCAGATCGGAGCTAGGAGCGTGGGTTAGACTCCAGTTTTGTCAGGCCAGCCTATGTGCTTCACAGCGAGGTTCCGAGCCTATCATGTTAAGGCTTAGGGTGTTTTTAGAATTCCCCCCCTCTGTATTGTCTTACTGTTTGGATTACTGTATAGACTGTCAGCTACTAACTGTACTGTTATCAAGAGATTAGGTCCCTGTACTGTGTGACTATAAATTTTGTATAGATTGTACTGTTTGTATGTATGAATGTATGAAAAATCTTTTTGGCATACAGACTGTCACAGCTCAATGGACATTATTATATTTACTGTACTGGCTTCCGCCAGGCCCTGTACTCTGTATACTGTATTACTGTTCTGCAGGCCTTCGTAATCTCGGATTACTGGCCGGTTACGGTGCTAAACCCATAGGGCCGGGTTTGGGTCG